TTACATTACGATTCATAACAGTAGCAAAATTACAGTTATAGAGTAGCAATGAAAATAATTTTATGGTTGGGGGTCACCACAACATGAGGAACTCTATTAAGGGGTCGCAGCATTAGGAAGGTTGAGAACCACTGCATAGGTTTCTAAAAGGACAGACATCTGTAATGTTCCTGTATTCTTTCTAAAGATACATTTGTTTCTTCATATTTCGCATGCATGTAGAAGTTTCAAAACGTCATGATAAAGTAAACCATTTCAAAAAGTAAAATGAGAGCTGTAAAATATTGATGGCAGTTTATTTCTATTAAAACTAACCACCATTCCAAAAGACATATTGTTTTATTGAAAATTTCAGAGTCTATAGTTCACATAAATTACTAAAAACTAGCAATTTTCCTTAGTCTGAAGAGACTGTCATACAACATCTGCCAGGAACCCTGAAAGTGATAGTTCTAGTCTCTCATACTCTGAGAGAGCTCCTTGAACTGCATTCTTCCAGAGGGTCCTCCAACCATTGTTGGAACCCTGGCAACTACATGGTAGATAGTATTTGAGAAGAAAGATATGTAATAATAAAGTTCAGATCTGCCTCTATTGGAATTCTCTATTGGTCCCTCTTGTGCACTCTGGTGTCGCCTTACAGCCGATTCTTAGACCACCCCCTCTGCATTAGCCTCTGACCCATTAGTCGAGAGAGTGTCTCGGAAAACTGAGGCCGGATGGAATGATATCTGTAAAGCTCTCTCGGCAGGGGGGTGGGGGGGTCTCGGCCTGACTGGGACCTGATGGAATGATATCAGCTGTCTCCCCTGGGAGGACATGTAATTATGTCTTGGGGCAATGTGGTGGAGTACGAAGGCATAGCATTTGCTGGAGTACACTGGGAAAAGGTGAATGGAAAAGGCCTTAAGGCGCACAAGAATACACGGTTAATGACTCACAGCACAGCAGTTTACTTCCTTGAAAATAATCAATAAAAACCATGCGTTGACCCGATTCGGGGGCTCAGTCTATCTCTGAAGGCTGAGTCCCTTGGTCTCGCTCTTAAATCTTACTTCTGTCTCTTGTTCTTATTCAATCTGCGTCGCCCCTCTCGTGTCCCATTTGCCCTTGCCATGCAGGACGTGACACTCTGGGGCTGCATAGAAAATGGGTATCTTTACCTTCTACCTGGAATTTCATAAGAAAATATTGTTGTGACTCAAAGCAACCAAAGACTTAAAAAGCACTAGGCCAGGATAATAGTTGTATTCCAAGTGTTCCTTGATTTGTTCATTCAGCAAACATTTATGTCCCTACTACATGCTAGTTTCTATGCTAAGAGTGGAGGAAATAAAGAGGAGCTTATGTTATGTAGCTTATATAACTAGCATGATAAAGATGAGCTAAGAGTATTGTGTGATATAGAGGGAGAAGTCTTTAACTCTTACTATGGGGTTGGGGGTAGGGTGTAGTTATTGTGGGAGAAGGAGAACAGAAGACAGCTCAAAGAAAACCTCCTCTCCTGGAAAACTTGAAAAGTGAATGGACACCTGAACCAAGCCTCAAATGATGAGTAAGATGGAGGGAGGGGAGCACGTGGGTCATTCAAGGAGCTGAAAGGTTTGGAAGAGTTCAGTAGGACTAGAGCTAGGGCATGATGGGCTGTGGATGGAGTTTAGACTTCTTCCTGAGAACTGTAGAGAGTTATGGAAAGATTTTAGTCGGGGAGTTGTACATGTGTGTTTCACATAGGTTATAGATGTTTGTTGTGGAAAAAATAGAAAATATAAATAAGTGGAAAGAAAAATCATACATATCCCACTTAGAGATGATACCAAAATTAGATCTTACTGTTAACTACGAGAGTGCCAAAAAAATGTGTACACATATTAGAAAAAAACTGTATTAAAATAACGCTGATAGTAACCACTTTGAGCACCTCTTGTAATTGCAGAAGTCAAACGTGACTTACATTCATCTTTTGTTATCGGTATATATTGAGTATTACAATTTTAATACAGTTTTTTTCCTTTCTTAAAATATGTATACTTTTTTTGGCACCCTCTGTATTTTGTAACCTGCTTTTTTTCCTACTTTGTTGTCAATAAAGCTTTTCTTGTCAATAAATATACATCCACAACATTTTTATTACTACATATTATTTTGAATATACCGTAATTTAAATAATTCTTCCTTTTGGGGGTTTTTCACTATTATAAAAAATGTACATATATCTTTGTATATTTTTCTGATTTTTTTAAAGGATAAATCCCAAGAAGTAGAATTCTTATCAGATAGTGTATACATTTTCTAATAGCCAAATTGCCCTCTGTAAATACTATCCAAAGTACATTCTCTCCAGCAGTATAGGAGAGTATACCCAACATAATGTGTTATCATTCTTTCTAATCTTTCCCCCAATATAAAATGTAGAAACAAATTATATTTGTTTTAATTTTCATTCCCTTGGTTACTGGTATAGTTGGATTTTTTGTATGCTTATTATACATATTATCCTGTGTAAATTGACAGTTTATATTGTTTATGTTTAAATTTTTAAGGTTTGTTTTCTTAATTTTTGTTTTTTTAGCTGATCCATCTGTTTTCTTAATTTTTAACAACTTATATATTGAAAGTAATAACATCTTGTGATATACTATAGTTTTCCCATTTTTGTCATTTTTCTCTCAAACTTCATGCAGTAATCTAGTAATCTATCCCTTTAATGATTTCTTTTGGTGTGATGCTTAGTCCTAATTATTAGGGTTATATAAATAGTCCTCTGTACTTCTTTCTACTTTTATTTTTGACATTAGAATATTTTTATGATATATCTGAAATGTATCAGATGTATCAATGTATTTGAAATGCCATTTTTATCATGTACTAAATCCTTATATACTTGGTTTCATTTCTAAACTTTCTGTTATGTTTTATTGATGTCTTTGTTGTAGCGACAATATATTGTTTTAACTAGATTAACTTTAAAATTAATTCTAATACCTAGTAATACAAACCCACCTTCATTCTCTTTTCGGATATCTCTGGGTTCTCGGTGTATAATTATTCTTCTGCATGGGGTACAGAATCATTTTGTCAAGTTTCCTCTAAAAAAATTCCTATGAGGACTTTTGCTTTACATTTGTTAAACATATAATTTGTGGAAAATTGATATCTTCCTCTGGAATATGGTATTTTCTACATTTATTTAGGCCTTATGTCTGTAGAATTTATCATTTTCCCCTGTTATTCCTACATATTTCCTAGAAGTATAATGCTTAGTATTTTCTATTTTAATTGCTAATATAAATCTCTTTTTTTCTAATAGTTTTTGATGACATACAAAAAATGATGAGAACCTTAATTTGAGGAAGGTAGCAATGGGGATGAAGAAATGTTGACAGGTTCTAGAAATAAAGCAGAAACAAAGAAATGTTGATGGTTTCTAGAAATAATTGTGTGCAAGGATGAGAAAGAAAGTAAAAGACAGTTCCTGATTTTCTGAGTTGGGCAACTTGATTTATAATAGTAGTTTTTCCTGAGATTTGAATTATAGAAAGGAAAATGAACATGACTTAAAGTGAAGATGAGGACATGAGGAATTCAGTTTAAGGCATATTTAATTTGAGGGCATTAAGGTGAAAATTTGATAGCCAGTGGGTAAATGGGTCTGGAAGTTACAAGCAATGCCTGAGCTAGAAATAATGATTGGATGACATTAACTACAGGAAATGTGTAGAGAATATGACAGGATGGAAACTTACGGGAACACTGGTATTTCAGGGGTGGGCAAAAAAAGTCACCTGGTGAGACATTCAAGAGCTAGGATGGGGAGTCAAGTTAGTAAATAGCCTTCACCCAGGTTATTCCTACAAACTTTGACTAGACCAGAGTGACTTAAGCATCTAAAGGCCACCTATGTTTTGACATCATTCATCTCTGCTAACCCTATTAGCACCGTTAGCGCAGGTGATTGCCCCACCTGACCCATCATCCTATCCACCTTATTCACTTTCCCTGTTTTGGAGAGAGAGAGAGAGAGAGAGAGAGAGAGAGAGACACACTTGTATATAGAGATAATATGTGTATATGAGGTACATATGTATTCCCTACCTTCTTTATCCAAATTTATCTTATTGCTCCTCCAACAAAGAAGCTGTGTCCAGTTGAATGTACGTCAGTCATGTAAATGTTCCAGTTTTATTCCCTCTTCATTCTAGGAACACATGCCTCAGTAAAAAACTAAAAACTGTAAATTTAAACAGTGTTTAGTATTATATTCTCAAAAATGTATAAAATAAGGTGAAACTAATGCATATTATTGCAGAGACTGTATCCATATATTAAAAAAGTAGACGTTATCATTTCAGTACTGCTGCTTTTACTCTGATGATGAATTCTTTTCACCAACTGCTGCTACTGTGTTTCCCTGAAAATAAGACTGGGTCTTATATTAATTTTTGCTCCAACAATCTACATTTATTCATTTATTCATGTGCAAAAATCTACATTTATTCAGTCATGTCTGGCTGACGATCTTAACTGAGGCTTATGTTTGGGGTAGGGCTTATGAGCATCCTGAAAAATCATGCCAGAGCTTATTTTCCAGTTAGGTCTTATTTTCGGGGTAGTAAAGGGTTCCAAACAGATCTGCAGCATGAGTGATTTGTGGTTCTCAGATGTAGGATCATCTCCTGTCTCTGTGGGATTTCAAGGCATTCTCATGTGTATTGAGGGAACTGAACCTGCAATTGATTTTACATGATACTTTATGTTCCAAGAGTCAAATAACATGTCTGTATTAGAGACAGTGGGAAATCTTAGACAAGAGTGGGAACCATGCTTGTTGGTGATAATAATGATGCCCCCACCTTCATCCCAATTATTTGCTATCCATAAGGGCCATCAGAAATTGAAGCCAAATGAGAAATCTACATATTTCTGGACTCAATCTGTTCATAAAATATGTAGGTACTTGATAAGAAATTTTTCAATAATGAAAATAACTGCCATAATTGAGTACTTCATATACGTCTGGCTTTGCTGAGCCCTCTGTGTGCCTTGTCTCATGCAATCCTGTGGGGTGGGTACTCTTGTCCCCATTTTACAGTGAGGAGCTGCATTTTTCAAGGTCAGTGACTTGCCCAAGGCTACACAGCTAGTGGGTGGGAGTTTTGAGATTTGAGCCGCAACTCTCAGACTCCAGATGCAAGCTCTTAACCACCATACTCTTCTCTTTCAGTTCATTCAGTTCAACAGTTTGGTTTTCTGTCTGTTGTTTTAATATTATCTACTTCTCATCAAAGCAACAAATTTGTTTTCTAGGAACAAGTAGTGATGAACTTGGACAGCAGGCTTCTGATCTTCCCTTTATATATCTGCTGTAACTTCCTGTATATATCACCAGAAAAAAGAACGGAAAATAATCATCATCCAGAAAATCCAGAAAACTGAGGATCTCATCAGTTGGAAACATTAGCACTTTGAAAACTTTTTTGGCCAGCTTTAATTTAATGGCCCTGTGATGTTCACATCTAAGGTGACTAACAATGACAAAGGCCTTATGAACTGTACAGATAATTCAGAAGACTATCCTTATCCTCATTACATTTCTATGCATCTATGGAAAAACATTTTAAAGCCAAGAAAATATCTGTCAAACCATCTCTGTTAGAAAGATGTCATCTCATGCTTTTAATTTAGCATCAGTAGAAACTTGTTGTAAATAAATTTCACATTTCTCTGCAACCAAATAGATTTCATTTTTAGCTTAAACTTTGATCCTGCCTAATGTTAGTGAATCTTAGTTATTGATCTGTAAATTTATTTGTCTAAAAGAATGCTAAAGGAGTAATTTGAAAGACCAATTATAAATGCTCTTTCAATTGGTGCACTTAAGGCTGTTCTTTAATTTTTTTCAACTGCTCTTTGATTCTCCCTCCTAATATCCTTCCAATATATAGTTGTTTTTAATCATTAAATACCTTTTTTGTGGTTTTGGAGACTAAGCTGAGGAAACTTTATTAACTTAAGCATTCTTATGCTATTTTCTTTTGCTTTTAATTTAGCTTTTCTAGGATTTTAATAACAAAAAATTCAGCTTCAGACTTTCAAATGAACTTGAATGGGGGGAGAACATGAGTTTGATTCTGAGTATATTCCTTTGCCTTACATGGTCTTTTCTTTGACATTCTGTAAAACTTTGTTTTTGCGTCATAAGATTACTTATGTACCAAATACTACACTTTAAATATTTTCCTATTCTCTGATCTTTAGAATTATTTATGTTCCAATTTTTGGGGGGAATCCTATTTCCTACATAAGCTCAGGACTTTATAACCTCTGAATTGAGTGCCTTTGAGTTACACATGCTAATAGAAATTTCATAGTAAATGTAAATAAGGTCAGAGGATGTCACATAGAAGTTGATGATAAAGCATTAATGTAAAAATAGAAATTATTTTTGTCAAAAATGAGATGTACATTTGTCATGATATATATATGTTGGCTTCTTGTGTTTACTGCTACTTTGAAAAGAGCCATGCTCATTGTCTTTCCAGTCAGAGTGAATACTTTTTGTGGTTAATGTATATTTTTTAGTATGTTTTAAAAAATGGGAATCACTTTTATGTATCTGTACAAACAATAAATACCCATTTGGAAAAAGAATAAATAAGCTCTTGTATAAAATGGACCAAAAAAAAAAAAAAAACTTAGTTGAAACCAGAATTTTTTTTCTTTCAGGTTACAATAGATATTTTCCAATTATATTTAACTTTTGGAATTTATTGATAGTGTTTCTTCCCCAATAATATGTCCATAGATTTATAAATTGTTTCTGTCCTTTCAAAATACATCCTCCTGATTAATTTAAAGGAAGCTTTTAAATGCCTCCCCCATCTCTGCCCCCAGAACTGTAGTTTAAATGTTTCTAATACAATAATTTGGCAGCATCAAGAGGCTACATTTCTTTTTTTAGTATTTGGCTATAATTATATCTCAGAAGAGGTTTTTATATATAGCATCAGAGGTTCCTTGCCTTTTATATATTAAATATAAATACCAATCTTGAATTATTTTAATAATTGAATTTTTTACCAATCTTGGGAGTAAAGATAAAGTTTTGAGTCTATTAGTGAGTAAAATTAATTATTTCATTTCACTTATATAAACTAACCAAATTGGAATTATATATGTTTCTTGTCCATTGGTACTTTCCTGGCTAAATTGCTTGTGTCATCGACAAACAAAACCATAATTTCTTCAGTCACAAGTAGGTTTTGCTGTCATTTGAGAAATTAATAATTGTCAGCTAGTACTTCACATTGATAGCCAAGATCTGCTTGTATTTTCTTACCAAATACTTCAATGTTTGCATACTTTTCACTTTTTTCAATAGGAATATTTTCAATAAAGTATTAAAGTGTCAGCTGACATAGCATATAATCTATTACATATGAAAGCTTTTGTGTTTGTCAGCTTTTGCCTTATAACCTTTACCAAGTCTTTTTTCTTAAGCTGCATGGGCTAGAAAACGATACCCAGTAATAATGATTTTAGCTTGGCTATCAGTAAAGAAGAGGTGCTTAAGAGAAAATGTTCCAGAGTCTCATGCTAAATTATTAAAGAGAGAGATGAATGTACCTTTCCTCTTTAAATACGTATGTATATGTTTGGCTTGAAACTTAGCAAGGCAAGGTTAAATGAACAGTGGTAGTCACTAGCTTTTTTACCAAGTGTTTAGCAGCCAACATTTTATCAAAATTTCAAGGCTCTGAATAGTATTATCATCAATGAACAATTTCAACATCACATGCAAAAATAGGGTTATCAGTGGCTCAGTTGGTTAAGAGCTCGCTCAAGAGTTTGAGCTCTGAGCAACAGCAGTTTGATGCCCAGCCCGAGCTGAGCTGCCAACAGGTGGCAGGATGGCTCAGCTAAAATAAAAATTAAAAAATAGGGTGATCAAAGAGTCACTGTGGGGCCCGCCAGCTGGCAAAGTTGGTTAGAGCACAGCTCTGAGCAACATGGTTGCCAGTTTGTTTCCCACATGGGCCTGTGAGCTGCGCCTGAGCTGAGCTGCCAATGGACAGCTGGATAGCTTAGCTGGTAAGAGTGTGCATGCTCTTAACAACAAGGTTGCCAATTCGACTCCCACATGGGATGGTGGGCTGCACCACTCCCCGCCCCCCCTGCAACTAGATTGAAAGTGGCAACTGGACTTGGACCTGAGCTGCGCCCTCCAGAACTAAGATAGAGGGACAACAACTTGACTTGGAGCTGATGGGTCCTGGAAATACACAATGTTCCCCTTCCCCAATTCCCAACACTGTTCTCTTCCCCAATTCCCCAATGAAATCTTTATAAAAAAAGAGTCACTGTGGCTATCTAAATTTAAGTTAAAATTCAATAAAACTTAGAATTTACTTCCTCAGTCACAGTAGGCACATTGTAAGTGCTTAGTAATCACATGTAACTAGTGGCTATCATATTAGTGCAGATATAGAATATTCCCATCATTGCAGAAAGCTCTATCAAATAGATTTAGTCTAGAATATGGACTATCAATGTTGAAACTATGTCAAAAACTTTATTCCCTTTAAGATGAACCCATGTAAAGAACAGAAAAGATAATAGAGCCAAGGGTGCAAATGATAGATACCTTGTCAATCACCTGAAATGATACGTTGAGTCATAATTTGAAGCAGTGTGGATCTAATCGCTTGACTGCATTAAAAAAACAAAAGGCATAGTACAGTTGCCTCCCCAACCAGAGAGTCTGAAATTCTTCCCAAGGTCCAAGATACAAGGGTGTAAAAGCAAAAGGCCTCAAACATCACTCACTGTTAACTAGTGGTCAGACTACATCTAATTAAAGGGGAAATGACTGAGTTAGCATCATGCATCCATATGTAATGATAAAATAGGATACTTTTGTAAAGGCTGGTGATTTTATATGAAACAGGACTAGCGAAGTTAAAACAAAATTTAACCAAGCTAGAGAGAGTACATTTGCAGAGAATCACAAATGGTTAATGTTGGTTCTTACATAAGGTACACACATACTTTAGTTTGCTTTCATTGAAAATAACTGATTGGGGAAGAAACATAAGCAAGTGTGATCACAAGTGTTGACCTTACTCCACCCTCTCCACTCAAATTCTATCTAGATGGCCTTTAGAATGAGACAACTTCAACTTAGAATGTGTTGGAAACAGGATTTTCTTCCAGATACAACCCCGAAGATATACGGTGCTGGATAATCCACACCTGAGAGAGGGCAACTTGAACAGTTAAGTAAATTAGAAAGCCCTAGCAGAACCAATTTCTATCCCACATCTTACAGGGGAGGAGCCATTTGGAGACACACCATTTCTTTTCCTGGCTAAAGTTGATCCCGGGGCTGCCCCTTTAAGGAACTTAATCCTTTGGGGGGTTTTTTCCCTTTCTACTTTGTATCTTTACCTTTTTTCTCTATACTGACTCATTCACACCAATATTTAAATGGGTTTAAGTTTCTCCCATCTTTGAAAAACATTCACATTTACCTCCACCCAATCCCATATTTTGCTCTGCCATCAGTCAAACTGCAAAAGTTCTCCAAATTCTTCCTCTACTTCAAAAGCCATTCATAATTACATTAAAACTTCCTGAGTCAACAAAGACGTTATTGTTCAATCCAATAGGTTCCATATGGTTTTTTGTTTTCTTTCCTTTTAACTTACATTTAAAATTAACTACTTTGTTCTCCTTAAAAAGCAGCCTTCTCTTCAATTTCTCTGATATCAAACTCACCCAGTTTTCCTTCTGTTTCTCTGGACACTTCTTAGTCTCCCTTTGGGGTTCTTCCTCTGGCTGTCTCCAGGCCCTTTTTCTCTCCTGAGCCTGCACCAGCTGATTTCATGCACTCTAGAGGCTTCTAACGAACATCTGTATTCTGATGATTCTTTATTCTGCAGTTCCAGCCCAGCCCTCTCTCTTCTGAACTCCAGATACACATCTAGTTGGCATCTCTTGGGTGTTCCAACATGGCAGCTCAAATTAGCATATCCAGATATGAATGTATGTTCTTTTATATGCCTTATTTTAGCGAATAATGCTACCATCCACCTAGTTTCACAGACCAGAAACCTGGATGTCATTCTTGAATCCTCTGCATCCAAAAATCACTGTTTTTCCAGTTTCACCAACTACTATTCAAATTCAAGCACTTTCCACAATACTGATACCATTCTAGCACAAGCCACCATACTTTCCAATCTACATTATTGTATCAGCCTCCTATTATATTCCCTCTCTAGTCAAGACTCATTACCCAAAGTGTTCTCTGAATAAACTCAAATATTCCCTCCCATCCTTAAAACCCTTCAAAGACTCCCTATTGCCTTTGCCTCAGGACAACTCTAGCATAGCTTACAAGCCTATTCTAGCCTTGTCTTTACATTTCCACTCCTTTCTCCCCAGTGGCCGCCATACTTTCAGTTCTACACAAAGCCCATCTTCTCCCTTGCCTCTCACCCTTGCACATGCAGCCTCCTCAGCCTCAACAATTTCTACTCATCTCACCTAATTTCTACTTATCTTTAAGGTCTTGTTTGGACATCATTTCCTCCCGGAAACTTTTCTTGACAACCTTTGCCCTCAAAACCTGTTAGGTACCAGTCTTAGGTGCCCTCATAATGTTCTTCCCCTATCAATGCACCTTCACGCTGTTTGTATATCCTTCAGTGGCCAGCAATCTACTCAAGAGCAGGCATGTCTTTTCTCGCTGATTAATCCTCTGGTACACAGGTGTGTGATAAATGTTTGCGTGAATAATTGTATTAATCATGCCTTTTTATTTATTTTCTGATGTTTTGACACCTGAGGTCTCGCTGAGACTGCCCCTCCCAGGGCTAGCTAATTCCTACAGACTGTCCTTGGCCGAGTGCCTTTGTGCACAGCAGCCTGTCAGCAGCCCATACGCTCCGACCACTTTCTTTACCAAACTCTCACAAGCCAGGCAATATTCCTCTGCCCTAATGACTCCAGGGCCAGGTACCAAACAACTCTGGACAGCCCCTGCATCCCAAAACCCGCTGAAATTATTCAAACTCGTCAATCTTCCACAATAAAGTCTTTTACCAATGCTTTCCCCCTTGTTCCCTCTGCCTCCCGACGCACCCTGGTGCTTCCTCTTGTGGGCTTAAACTACTTTCAAATGCTACGTTTAGAATTGGTTTGATATGAAATATTTTGTGCATATGGACAAGAACTGGAAAGAAAAATGGGGGTGGGCGGGAATGAGAATTGTGTTAAGGTGGTGGATATACGGGTTTTTTCAGATTTCTATAATAACATCAAGTAGCACACTTTAAATGCCCACCGTGGACACAAAAAGGGGGAAGCCACCACAGGAAAAAAAATGGGACTGGAAGAACGGAGACTACAACTTGGTTCTCACTGGAATCTCTGGGCTCACAAGTGACAGCATCAGGACCCGGCCGGGTGATTCTGGGCTGGCTTAGCGCAACCTCACTTCTTTGAAGCCGGAACCATCGTGAATCGTTCCGACGTTTCCCAGTCGGCGGTAAAAGTGCAGTCAGTTCCCGGCCCTCCCAGAAGCTGTTAGACTGTCGCTTCCGGGGCTGTGTGAGGTGGAGGAGCGCTCCGAATGGGTCGCAGTCGCAGCCGCTCCCCACGTAGGGGTGAGTCCAGAAGCAATCGGAGGGTCTGGGGCTCCGTTGGAGGCGCGTCTTTTTTTTCACCAGGTCGAGGGCTGCCGAAAGGCGGGCCCTTTACTCCTGAGCAGAGGAGCGGGAGACGGGGGTGGATGGGGACCATGACCTGGTCCCTCCCGTTTGAAGGCAATTTTTTGTTTTTGTTTTTATCTTCCTAATTAGGGTTTCTCTGACTCTTTGTCAGCCTCCTATAATAACTTTTGTTATGCTTGGGAAATTTAGAATCAGACCACAGTTCCCTCACTTAATATCTGGATGACCGTGTGCAAGTCATCCGACCTTTCTGAGTCGGAATTGGAAGGTAATATTACCTATCTTTAAAAAAGAAACAAGGGCCGGCGGAGTCGCGCGATAGTTAAAAGAGCTGGCTTGGGACACCAGAGGGCCCCCGGTTCGGATCCCACATATGAGGGCTAGTGACACTGCCCTCTACAGCTAAGATGCTGAACAACAGTTCAACCTGGAGCTGGGCTGCTGTGAGTCACCGGCGACGGTGTAGGCTGCAGCCCCTGTGGCAGTGGGTTGCCATGGGCTACCGTGTGTAGCCAGCAGCCAGCGTGAGCAGCCAGCAGCCGCAGTGAGCAGCCGTCCAGAAGCCGGCGACTGATCTGCCTCGCCAGGGAAGAGCGCAATGATGGTGTCAACTTGCGCCAGTGAAGCAACGTCCTCCACAACTAGACTGAAGAACAAGAGGACAGCAACTTGTCTGTTCCCCT